CGCGTTGCAGGACGTTGCATGGAAGGACGCTGACCGCCGCAGCCGCACAGAGGCCCACCACGCGGTTCGTCTGGCCGCATTCGGCACCGACAATGCCTCTGTGCTGCTGCGCGGTGTTGTGATGGCACAGCAGCAGCAGCAGCAGCAGCAACAAGAAGAACAGAAGCTGGAGGGTTTGGGGATGTCAGGCAGGGCCTCGCGTTGCGCACGGGCTGATGATGCGGTGCTGGTCTCGACGCTTGGCTGCGTTGCCGGCGCATTGATGGCGAAGGGGTCTTGGGAGTCCGCGCTGCGCGTTATTCCGCTGGGCGTGACTGAGCTCCCGCCTCTGCTTCGACTGGCACGGCTGAGGGCGCTGCATTGCAGCGGTGACTTCGGCGAGCATGCCGCGATGCTGCTGGAGTCCGAGACAGAGTCGTCGGGGCGTGGGCGTCGACGTCACGGCCGCCACAAAATGCCAGAGGGTGTGCGCAGGCTCGTCAAGAAGATGCAGGCGGACAAGGCGTTTCACTGGTGGGATGGTCGCAGCTGAGGCTGTTTGGCGTCGATGTTTATCGATGGCTCTCATTCCCCCTCCCCTCCTCTCCCCTCCTCTCTCTGGCATGCAATGGGACTCTCTTTCGCGCTGGCGACTGATGTGCCTGCCGCTTCTCCTTCATTGTCCTCGTTCCTGCAAGCAGCGGCAGCAGCAACCGTCCCCGCTGCCTCAGCATCCGTGTCAGAAAGCAGCAGCAGCAGCAGCAACAACAACAACAACAGACCGATGGCGGGCGCCTTGCACCCCCGAGTGGTGGTGTTGCTCGGTTTCATGGCTGGAATGCTCCTGGGCGCTGTTCTCGTGTCGCTGGCACTGCTGGATGGCGTCATGCAGCGGGTGGAGGTGGACCGCTCTGAACTCCTTCAGGGTGAAGCCAGCAGTACGTTTACTGGTGGCCATGTGAACCCTAACAGCGGTGGCAACAGCAACCGAACTAGTGTGGTGGCGAGCGAGTTGCTCTCTCCACCTTTTCGTTTTCACGTGTACGATGTTCCTGAGCGCTATGGTGAGGGTGCGCTGCGTCTGCTGGAAGAGAGGTGGCCGGTAAGCTTCTGTAACCGGCGGCTGCCGAAGAGCAACTACACCATGCTTGACTGGCGTCACGCGCTCTCGCTCTTCACCGCCGATGTGTGGATGGTGCGCCACATTCGCTCCCATCCCGCCCACACGAATAACCCGGCGGAGGCGGACATCTTTATCATTCCCATCATTCCACACGTCTACCACTGCGCCCACGTGAGCCACTACATGATTGAGGTGGTGCGCCACATCCAGCAGCAATACCCGTACATCCGCGTGTACGACCAGCACGACCACTTCATGTTCTGGTGGCGCTGGGCGCTCCACCACCGCAGCGTTCAGGGTTTTTGGCGCCACGTGCAGAGGAACATTCCCAACGTGAAGCTCATATCGTACGATCTGCTTGAAATCATGGGCCGGAACGACTACCAAGATTTCTCTCTCGCGCTGAAGCCGCTGTTTCTTGCCAACATGCTCAACGTGGTTGTCCCGTACCCTGACATGGCGCCGGCGCTGCGGCAGCCGCCCGACATGGCGGCACCGCGACCCGTTCTGTTCTATTTCGCCGGGACCCACACGATTGGCGGCGTTCGACGGTGGATCCGACGCAACTGCCAGAAGGAGCCGCAGGCGTGCGTGTACGAGACGTTTGCCAGCACCGGCGTCACGGCGGAGCGGCTGCGCGTGCCGCTGGCGTACCCGGAGCAGATGCGACGCGCTGTTTTCTGCGGCCACGCGGCGGGTGACGCGCTGTCGTCGCGACGCCCCACCTCCGCGGTGCTCGCCGGCTGCATCCCTGTCATCATGTGCGACCTCTGCATCATGCCCTTCGAGGGCGTTGTGGGCTACAGCAGGTTCGCGGTGTTTATCCCAGAGGACGTTGTCATCGCGGGCCGCATGATGGAGACGCTGCGGTCCATCCCGGCGCGGCAGGTGCGGCACATGCAGAAGGAGTTACGGCGTGTGCGCAGTCGTTTCACGTATAACGCCGATGGGCTGAAGCCCAACGACGCCCTCGACACACTGGTGCAGGAGCTCGCGTTGCGCGGGGCGTTGCTGCGGCAGTACAAGCGGTGGTGGCAGACTAACCGCAATCTTTCCTCTTCCTACAACGACTACCCGAGTGTGCCGCCGGCGCGGAGGCGCTACATGCTGCCGCCAGACGCACCCGGGGCGGCGGAGTTCAATGCCGTTTGACACGCACACGCACACACACACACACACAGAGAGACAGACTGACTGACAGACGCGTGTACATGCGCGCAGGCAAAGGTGAGCGACTCTTGCATGTACACTTAGTTGCTTGTCTCAGGCCTCTTTTTCTTCACCCCCCCCNCCCCCCCCCCCCACCCTTATTTAATCGTTCAGCAGGTAGTGTAGGAGGATGAGGCGGACACCCGCGGTTTGGGGCGGCTTCACGATGAAGTACAAGAAGGGCACTGGCCTCTGGGATGAGGACCACGTTAATGACTACAAGACAAACCGGTACCTTTCAGCCCGCGCGACGATGCGGTGGTACTGCGAGATGGAGCGGCTGATGACGCGCAACAACCTCAACGCACGGCGGGGCACGCAGAGTTACAACAACAACAGGGGGCTGCACCACAGTGGCCGCGGCGCCTTTGAGCGTGAGGCGGAGCGCCGCGGCGTGCAAGTGGAGAAGTACGCGCTCACCACCACGACGGGGGCGATGCGTGTGGCGGAGATGGTGGTGCTGCGGCGTATGGAGCTCGAGAAGAAGTCCGCGGAGGCGATGGCAGCACAACGTGATGCTCTGCGGCAGCCACAGCCGTCGGCGTGGTACGACGAAACGAGGGGACCCCTCAACCCGGAGTTCCTGCGCCGAATGCGGTCGCACTACGAGGTGGACATCACCGCCCTGCCAGACGCCCCGCTCATACGCGAGCAGCAAGGAGAACAACGAGAGGGGCAGGTGCAACAGCAGCAGTAGCAGTGGCGCCCACGTGGCAACGCCGCCCCTTTGGGTTGTCCGCAAGCGCTCTTCTGGAGAGACTCGTTCACCTTCATTTTCACATTTTTTTTCTCTATTCTCTGTCACGTCCTCCCTCGCTACTCGGGTTTTTTCCTTTGTGTTGCCCACCTCCTTCTTTCTTTTTTTTTTCGCGTTTTCTCTTCTGTTTGTTGTTTCTTCGCCTCTGCAGTTTCTGTGGGGCTTTTTCGTGGGGCGGGTGGGACTGCCGCGCAGAGGCGTCGTTGGGTGGCGGGATGGAGCAACTCCTCCCGTACGAAGTGGTGTACCGCACCAGCGAGGACGAGGGTTTCCCCATCACGGAGTTAGGCCACGGCCCGGCGTCGCCCGTCACGGGGCCCCCCGCAGCCGCAGCGGTGGCGTTACTGCGCTACAGCAAGGGATGGCAGAGCGCGCGCAACGGAAAGATGCCACAGACGATCGTGCTGCGCTTCCCGGGCAACGTGGAGCTCACACAGATGCGTATATTGAGTCACGAGTACAAGATTGCCTCCCTGGTGGAGGTGCGGCTCTTTGCCCTTAAAAGAACGGACACGGAGACGGACCCCCCGTCCTTCCGCGCCGTCCGCTTCACGAAGCTAGGCGCTGTGGCCTTTAACAGCAACGAGCACTCCAACTTCCGCTTCAAGGAGCGCAAGACGGTGCACCTTCAGGCTGAGGCCTACTTCGTGAAACTGCTATTCAACGCGCCGCACCGCAACGCACAGAACCGCTTCAACCAGGTTGGCGTGTACTCCATCGAGTGTAGTGGGCGCATTCTCTCACGTGTGTTGCGCCACTCCGACGCGGCAGTGGTCGGTGGTGAAATGACGCCGCCGCCGCCAAGCCCCGTGGAGCATTCGCCCACCAGGAGCGACACCTCTTCTCTTAGGCAACAGCAACATCAGCCGATGGGCCAACAGCCAACGCGGTCGCTATCACCGACGCCCGCACAGCATATCATACCACACGGCATTGACCCCCCCGCCTTTCGCTCGGTCCGAATTCTTGAGTTTGAGGACTTCTTCATTCGCCGCTCAGAGGAGCTGCTGACGCTGAAGGATCAAGCTGTTGCGGTCGAGGACTTTGACACTGCGAAGGAGTGCCGTGACCGCATCAATTTGATGAATAGGCGCTCGAAGCGCATCTATCAAATAGAGCAAGACAAGGTGCAAGCCATCATAGAAGAAGACTTTGACGCTGCGAAAAAAGCGAGGCAAATGATGGATGCCCTGATAGAAGAAGTGTACGAGGATGCCAAGTTGCCAAAGCCGAAGCCTGACTTTGACCCGTATGCGTGTGCCGACGATGCTTTCAATGTTAAAGTCGACGCCAATGGTCTCCATGGTGTAGCCGCAGCAAAGGCGGGGGCCGACGGAGGCTGGCATAGTAAAAGGAACAGCACCAGCAGTAGAAAAGGCCGAAACGTTGCACATAGTGGGGACAGGAGTGTTGTGGATGGCGGTGCTTGTAATGACGGGCACCGTGAAAGTGACGCGGGTAGCGAGGATGAGAGGGGGCCGATCGTGTCCGACTACGCGCGGCGGATGGCGGACCTCGTGCACGACCTCACGGACGCGATCGACGAGGTGGACCCGCCGCCGGACAACGACGGCAACAGCAGCATTGGTGACGCGGCACCGCAGTTGGTGGAAGAGGCGCAGCTGCAGCCATGGGAGCGACGTGCGGCGCAGGCCATCATGTCGGCCGCATGCGAGATGGAGGGGCCACGTGTGCTGAGGGACGACATGAAGAACAGCCGCGAGGCGTTGGACCTCGCCGCCGCCGTCGGCACGTACACGACGGCGTGCCTCTTCAGCAAGCGCTTCAAGCTGCGTGAGGCGGTGTTCGAAGTGTTGATGGACGACATGGCGAATCTGTACCAGTCGCGCCCAGTGGTGATTGAGGAGGTCGTGCTGCGCTTCCTCGACCTCAACGGCCGCGGGCTGCAGGACACAATACCCAACGTTGTTGCTGCTTGCTGCGCCTTTGTGCGCATGGTGCTCGCCGACGAGCACAAGTGCCTCGTGCTGGTGCTCGCGCCGTTGGCGAATCTGCTCCCGCGGCTGCTATGCTGCGCCGCCGACGCCAACGCGCGCGTGCGGGAGGAGGCGTTCTCGACACTCACACTCTGCGTCAAGACGCTGCCGTTGACAAACGCCACCATTCTCACCGCGGTGCTCGCGGATCCGGTGGACAAAGACCGGCGGCGGCTGCCGAGCTGCAACACACGCGTGCAGATGGCACGGCTGACGGTGCTCGAGCAACTCGTCAGCATCGGCCGCATGGGTCTGCGCAGCACCGCTGAGGGCGTGTGGACGAAACTGCTGCTCCCGTGCGTCAACCACCAGAGCCAGGAAGTGCGCGACCTCGCGGTATCGGTCACGACGCTCCTCGTACAGGAGCGCAAGCTCGTGCTGACGCCACGGCGGGCTGGCGAGATAGACAAGGCGGCCGTACGCGATCAGCTCAAGGCGATAGCGGCGCAGATGAGGCCGTCGACTGTGGCTGCGGCTGCGGCCAACACTCCTGCTGCGGGCGAGACAGGCATCTCGCCACGCAGCGCCGCCAAGAAAAGGCGCGTCTCAGCGAGACGGCAAACCCCAGTGAAGGATGAAAAGGCGCCATAGTCTCAGTTCTGAATATATATATATATATATGTGTGTGTGTGTGTGTGTGTGTCTGCGTGTCTACATCTTTCTGCATCTCTGCGCACCCAGGGTGATCATTAAAGTCTGCGGTGCCTAAGCTCCATTCTCGGGAGGGGTGAGGGTCCGTTAGTGCATGCGAATCCTCATATGCATGTAAATGTTGCTGGCGTTTCTTCCCCTCCCCCCCTCCCTCCTTTCTTCTCTGAGTGTGCGTATGTGTGCATCTCCTCTGACCGACGCCATCATCTCTCTCCCTCTCACCTGTCACCTTCCTCGCACCCCACCTCCATTCGTGCATAAACACTCGCACACACGCACGCATATCATGAATATATATTTNTGCTCCTGGAAGTAAGCAAAAACAGTGCAACACACCGGAGGGACAGATGAGCCGCGCGTCGCAGCCACACATGTCGCTTGGTGATGCGGCGGCGAACGAGGAGGAGGCGCACGACGCCTTTCTCGACCTCGACGACCCTAACAACGAGATCGTCGACGAGAGCAAACTGGCTGAGATGGACGACAATGAAGAGGAGGACATGGACGGCAACGCTGAAGAGGTGAAGGATGATGGTGAGGACGGCGCCGAGACGGGCGCTGACTACGGCAACGAGGAGGAGCAGGCTGACGACGCGGAGGACCTCAACGACGTGCCTGACCGCGAGCCGGAGCGCGACGACGCGCTCTGCGTCTTCCACGGCCGCGACCACCGCGCGCTGCACAC